ACAACATTCCTTAGTGGCAAAATGAAAGTTGATTTGGGAGGCTTTTTGCCGCAGGATCTCCAAAAAAAAAAAAAAAGAAAAAAAAAAGAAAGAGATGATTCTAGTTAAATGTTTTTAATGTTTTAACTTCCATCAGGTTGATACTTAAGCTATATTTTATAAAGAGTAAATCATCCTTAGTATGCTGCATTTAAAGATCAGCATTGTTGCACTTTCTCAGTAATAATAAATGCCCTACAATTGGCTCACCAGTAAGCATTTTGTTTCTAACCTAACAAGAGTACTTTGGGGCAGGTGATTAAATTTATATAGGTACCTCAAGAAAAAGAACCTGAATATGCTGCATTTTATTTCTTTAGCTTTTACGTGTAGTATTTTGTTTTGCTTTTGTAATTTTGTTTAGATATATGCTTTTTGGACCCCAATAGACTGTTGAAAGAAATTTTAAAATCACTCTTGTAGAGATATAGTATCCTTTTTTTTTTTAAACTTACTGCAATATCTGGTTCAAAGCTTCCCCTACGTTAGAATAACACTTTACCCATATATACACCTGAGGAAAAGGATACTATGTGTCTAAGCAGACAATACCGTGCCCATCCTTTCTGTTCATGCTGCTTTCTTAAATCGTTTCTCCATGTTATCAAGAGGTTGGATAACTTATTTCTAAACTCAAAGTTAAAAATCATGGCATCTCAATTTTTTTCAGCACAGACCTCAAAAAATTGACATTGAGTAAGTAGCATGATCCTAAGTCTCCTGCTGAAATTAGGCAGCCCAGTCAATCTGGTCTCTCTGGAGAGTCAGTCCTCACATTTCCTTATCCTCAGCACTCACCCTAAACTGAACAGATGGGGAGTGGTCTTGATTGACAAGATAAAACTGGTGAAGAAAGCTAAATGCTGAGATACTGAGCATCTATTGTCGTGTTTAAGCTTAGCTGGGTCCTTTCTAGTTTGTTTTTACAGCTTACTAGGTTAAGTAGTTTGCACTATTTTTGCAATAAATTCATGGAAAACCTAACAGTTACTTGTTTTGTTTCTTTACTGTGTGTATATAAACTAATACTAAAGGTTTGGCATAGTGTTTTTTCACCTCCTTACATAACCCCTAACATGCACAGAATGCTGTAAATCTGATAAAATATGATGTGAATGATATTTTATAAAGTTATTTTGTATGGTGTCAATTTTGTTTTGCCTCATAGTATGTCAGCAAAAAATAAAATAAAATTCCTCCTATTTACAGCTGCCTCTTCCAGAGACCTTCAATTACTCACATGTTTATTTGGGGACTTCTTTCTGTACAGGTTAGGATTCCAGCGAGGGAAGTCTAGAGCCCTGGGGCTACCCCTTGACAAACATGTACTCAGCGGAACTAGGTGTAACCTGGGAAGCTGGGCTTGGAAAATGAAAGCCACAGAGACAAGTTGGCCACAGTGGAAACAGCTGAAATCTAGGATAGTTGGGGCCTTCTACTCTGGCAGCCACAATAAAGGGGAAAATAAAAAGCCATTCCGCTGAGCCCCAGCCATGTGCAAGGCCCTGAGCTCTGTGCTGAGTGTGGGAACCTGAACTGGCCACAGCCTGGTTCTCAGCCTGGCTAGTCCCTTGGTCACTGCACCCTGGCTAGGTTTATACACATCAGCACTGCTCTGAAATTCCTGGTGGCTTCACACTGACTCCTGTTTTTGACTTCTACCTATACTGAAAAAAATACACACTGCTGGGAAAGGAAAGGAGGGTTGGATTAGGAAAAAAAAAAAAAGGCAGAAACTCCCTAGTATGTACATTGTTGCTAAAGCAGGCCAAGGTTTTTGTCCTCACTTAAAGCTATTTTAGCCGGGCTCGGTGGCTCAGCCTGTAATCCCGCGCCTTTGGGAGGCTGAGGTGAGTGGATTGCCTGAGCCCGCGGGTTTGAGACCCGCCTGGGCAGCGAGACCTCATCTCTACAATAAATAAAAAAATCAGCTGGGCGTGGTAGCGCATGCCTGTAATTCCGGCTACTTGGAAGGCTGAGGCGGAAGGATCGCCGGAGCCCAGCGGGTCGAGGCTGCGGTGGCCGGGAGCGGCCACTGCACTCCAGTCTGGGCGACAGAGTGAGACTCCAACTCAAAAAAAAAAGCTATTTTAAGAAGCGTGTGTCTGTTTCTTAAAATGTGAAACTTCAGATAAACATGATGAACTATTTAGATTACCTGTAATCACAACATTAATAGGTAATTATCTTAGCATTCTGATCTACTTTGTTCCGGGCTTTATTTTTTTTTTTTTGAGTTGGAGTCTCACTCTGTCGCCCAGACTGGAGTGCAGTGGCCGCTCCCGGTCACCGCAGCCTCGACCCGCTGGGCTCCGGCGATCCTTCCGCCTCAGCCTTCCGAGTAGCTGGAACTACAGGCGTGCGCTACCACGTCCGGCTGATTTTTGATTTATTGTAGAGATGAGGTCTCGCCAAGTTGCCCAGGCAGGTCTCAAACCCATGGGCCCACGCAATCCACTCACCTCGGTCTCCCAAAGCACTGGGATTACAGGCTGAGCCACTGGCCTTTTTTTTTTTTTTTTTTAAAGATAAGGGCTATGTTGCCTAGGCTGGTCTTGAACTCCTAGACCAGCAGTCCTCCTACCTTAGCCTTCCATAGTGTTGGGATTACAGGCATGAGCCACTATGCCCAGCCTATTTTTGTTTTTCTTAAACAAAATCAAGATGTATCTGTTAATATATCTAGAACTCTCTACTACTTCTTACTGTCCAAAACCACAAAACACCTTTGTGCCCACTGGCCCTGGGACATACTGATCAAAACTGGAAAGAGACACAGAAATTGACAGCAATAAACTCACTTAATATGGCCTTCCCCTGTGTTACATTCTTGCTGTTTCACCCTCATTTATTGAATGGCCAGAAGCAGTCATGATCTGATTGGAAAGACCTAAACGGAAAAGCGGCGTATGACAGTAAGTGTTCTATGAATTAAGAAAGGATTCCAGATCAGTGGACGTATGATAGATGTATATGCTCTTTTTTTTTTTTTGAGTTGTAGTCTCACTCCATTGCCCAGGCTGGAGTGTAATGGCACACTCACGGGCACCCGAGCGTCGACCTGCTAGGTCAAGTGATCCTCAGGCTGTTCTCAAACCCGTGGGTTCAGGCAGTCCCCTCACCTTGGCCTCCCAAAGTGCTGGGATTACAGGCCCAAGCCACAGCGCCCGGCCTTTGCTCCATATTTTCCTGTATCAGCAGGAAAGGAAGGTTGGTGCAGGAAAGTAGCAGGATATAGACTAAGCCCAGTGTCTAGGACCTTGCATGCCACGTTGAGAATTTACCCCATACCCAGTCTGAAGACACTGCACTTTTTTAAGCTGAATGGTGCAGTGAAAAATCTCGTCTGGGATATGAATCCCAGTTTCACCACCTCTTGGGTGTGTCTTGGTCCAGTTCCTTAACCTGAGCCTCCATTCTCTTCTTTGTAAAATGTGGTTATTGACTTTGCAAGCTGTGAAGATTCCGTAAAGATATACACGAAGCACACAGATGAGGCTCAGCCCCCAGTAGCTACTCGAATATCAGCTGTTTTTAAATGTGATAAGGAGATTAACCTTCATAAAATCGTTTTGATAACCTGATAGTGGTATGTAGAATGGAAGGAGAAAAGAGGTTGTAGAGATGGTGAGGAAACTAGGGAGCTACAGTAACAGGGTAGCGCGTGGTTCAAGGAGGAACCAAAAAGGACCAATGCTCCCTAAGTCACTGGGCCTGAAGAGCTTGTGGTGGGTTAGGGCTGCTTCAACTGGCTCCACACAGAAGCCATATAGTGTTTTTCCTGGGGACTGTTTAACAACATCACACTGTTAACAGCCACAAATATTGGAGGCCAAGCCCAACACTTCAGAGGCTAGCACGGGAGATCTCGGTGACTGGGTCTCTTGAGTTTTTAAATAGACATGAAAAGCATGGTATATGAAAGAAAAAATTGATAAACAGGACTTATTCCAAATGAACTTCTGGCTGTGTGAGGTGGCTCACACCTATAATCCCAGCACTCTGGGAGGCCAAGGCGAGAGGATTGCCTAAGCCCATGGGTTCAAGACCAGCCTGGGCAACCTGGAGAGACCTCATCTCTACAATAAAAAATAAAAGATTAAAAAAATTAGCTCGGTATGGTGGCGCATGCCTGTAGTTCCAGCTACTTGAAGTGGAAGGATTACCTGAGCCCAGCAGGTCGAGGCTGCAGTGGCCATGAGCATGCTACGGCACTCCAGCCTGGGCAACAGAGTGAGACTCCAACTAAAAAAAATCAAGAACTTCTGCTCTTTGAAACATGTTAAAAGAATGAAAAGACAAGTCCACAAGCTGGGAGAAAATGTTTGCAAATCTCATATCTGGCAAAGAACTTGTATTCAGAATATTTAAAACTCAAAATCCAGCAAAAAACGGATACCAACTTACAAAGGCTGCAGAGCAAGTGGAACTCACTGCTGGTGGGAATACAAAATGGCATAGCCAATTTGGAAAACAATGTGGCAGTTTCTTATAAATACACAATTCCATGCATAAGTATATGCCCAAGTGAAGTGAAATCCTGTGTTCCCACAACACCAGTACACAAATGTTTATAGGGCTGTATTAGCAATCATCAAAACTGGAAACAGTCTAAATGGGTAATTATCATGTACTTGGGAAAAGGATAATCAGGTATATTCATACAATGAAATTCTAACTCAGCAATAAAAAGGAATGGATTGCTGCTATCTGTGACAACATGGATGAATCTCAAATGCATTATGCTAAATGTAAAACTGCAGACTCAAATGCTACATACTGTATGATTCCATTTATATGTCATTCTGGAAAAGACAGATCAGCAAACTATGGTCTGTGGGCCAAATCCAGTCCTGTTTTTGTACAGCACATAAGTTAAGAAGTATTTACATTAAGTGGTTGGAGAAAGTCAAAACAATATTTCATGACGCATGAAAATGATACAAAATTCAAATGTCAGCTTCCAGAAATAAAGTTCTATTGAAATACAGTCAATTCATTCCTTTACACATTATCTATGGCTATTTCTGTACAATGGCAGAATTTAGTAATTGCAAAAAAGATTATATAGTCCACGATGCTTTAGATATTTACTACATGGCCCTTTCCAGAAAAAATTTGCTGACTCCTGTTACAGGGACAGAATAGCTCTATGATTGTCAGGGCAATAGGTGTGGATGGATTAGACCACAAGGGAATTTTCTGGAGGGTGACAGAACTGTTGTATCTTAATTGTGGTGGTGGTTACATGATTGCATATGTCAGAACTTAAAACTATACACCACATGTAGATTTTAAAAAATTTTATTTTAAAATAAGTTTTGATAAACATGAGGTACTAAAAAACATCAGTGGTTGTTGCCAGAGGGTAGGAGAAAAGACTGACTACAAGAGGGCACAGGGGCATATTTTGGGAAATGAAACTGTTCTGTGTATTGACTGGTTCCAAAACTAAGCATTTGTCAACATTCACAGACTAGACACTAAAAGGGTGATTTTCCTGGATGTAAATTATAACTCTTTTTTATAAAAGAGAGATATACTGAAAAGACAGGAGCCAAACATTTACCCTGTTTTTTTTAAAAAATGGGTTTCTGCTTTTCTCTTGTAGACAGTAAAAACAAGTATCAGGGATTTAAAGCAAAGAACAGTAAGACAAAAGATAGCTTCAATACATAAAATGTTGCAAAAATTATTTAAGAGCAATATGCTTATGCAGAGTTAATATTTTATTTTAGTTTGTTTTGTTTTTTTTGAGTCAGGGTCTCACTCTGTCACCCAGGGCTGCAGTGCAATGACACGATTACAGCTCACAGCAACCCCAACCTCCTGGGCTCAGAGATTCTTCTGCCTCAGTCTATTTTGATAATTGGCTGGGAATTTTTCTCTAGGAATAAAAATGTTAGAAATGCTTTCTTTTTTTAATCAAAAAATTATCAAGCAGTAAGCAAGGCATTAGAGCAATAGAGGCCTCTACGACTAGTACCATAAAGCATTTTACTGTAAAAATATGTATAGATCTTTAATAGGAAAGCATGTCTTTACAATAGAAAAAGATTTGAATAGTCAAAGAAATTTCTTAAAATACAAAAATTCAAATGTAACATACTACCTATAAACTGCACATTTAGCAAAAACTGAATCATGTTGCTTACATGAACCAATTCCAAAATATACATGTATGCATTTACATAACTGATATATAGAAGCTCTTCAGAAATCTATTTGTAAATTTTAAAGTTAAGCAAAATCTTTTGTCTTTGCCTCTATACAGTCTGGAGCTGCAGCAGACCAATTAACTGCTTGTGGCCACCTGTGCAGGGGGCCTTCCTGGTGACCAACTGCTATGTGGGCCTGTCAGAGACAGGCTGCTGTCTGGGTCCTTGGGCTGTTTGCTCTACCTTAGCTCAGAAAGAACACAACACGCTAGAAGTCTCTGAAAAAGTGAAAGACTAAAGGCACGCTGTGTTGTGTTTACTTCAAAGCAGTGATGCTGATCCAGGAAGGTTCTCGCCAGGCTGATTTGCAAAGCATTTTTTTGGGTTACGATTCAGCTTCGTCATTGTCATTTTCACCATCATCATTCTCATCTTCTTCCCTCTTTTCCTCTTTAAGCATTTTCAGGTATTTACTAGCTAAAATCTTCTTTGGCAATATATCTTAAAAACATAAGGCTTACATCAGCAGTTGGTTATGGCAGACTATGAATACAGCAATGCAAAGCTCAAATGTACTAGTTCCTACTTTGACATCTACAAGAGGTTCTGAAACAAGATAAAATTCAGCTACATTTCTGGGTGGAACTAGCATTGTCTACTGACTAATGTTATAGTCCTGTTCTCATTCCACTGACTACAGACCACAATGCTTCTATGCGCTGCTTTTTTGAACAACCCTCTCCGATCTCCATGGGATAGACTGTGCTGCCCCCAAGGGTAGACCACCATGAGTTTTCCGTTCAGAGACGGGAAGGATCCTGCAGGTGGGGGTAAGGGGTCTGCCCAGCTCACCCAGCCAACCAACCATCTTATGCATGTTGTTGACTTCATTATTATTCTAAGTGGGCCACATTACAAACATAGTCAAACAGAGAAGACTAAAGTATCTTCCTGTGCCAGGTCATGGTAAATTTTGGTACCTGGAGAAAGCAGCAAAATGTCCAATTCAGTGAAAGCAGAACAGGAAAAAAAAAGTTGTCATTACTAATCATTTTTTAACCAGAATGTTTCAAAGACAGTACCTGCAAGAAACTGAAAAGTTTCCGATTCCTCTGCAGTATTGGCTAAATCATTGTAAGTCAGTGCTTTCTTCTCCTTTCCACTGCCATGTCTGTAGGAATAGGTGGCTAGAAATTGAACAAAGAGCTCCTAAAACAAATTGAAAAAGTAAAATGAAAGGTGTGCTTTGACAACTTACCATAAAGTTGAATGTTTTAGTTATGTTAAGTTTGTAGATTTATATTAAACTTAAAATTACAGTAAGACTTCAGATTATCTTGGTTTCTCAAATTAAATTACAATAAATCACTAGGGGAAAAAAGAAACATGAGGCCAGGTGCAGTGGCTCACACTTATAAACTCAGCATTTTGGGAGGCAGAGGCGAGAGAACTGCCTGATTCCAGGGGTTCAAGACCAACCTGGGCAACTTGGCAAGACTTCATCTCTACAATAAATCAGAAAAATTACCCAGGCATGCCCACACGTGCCTATAGTTCCAGCTACTTGGAAGGCTGAGGCGGAAGGATCGCCTGAGCCCAGCAGGTAGAGGCTACAGTGATCATGAGCGTGCCACTGCACTCCAGCCTGGGCAACAGAGTGAGACAAAAAAGAAAAGAAACATGAGGTCAGAAAGAAAACAAGTCTGTATCAAAACTGGCAGAGAAGCAGGCATTTTCCAGAGGCTTATTTGAGATGTCTAAGTTATGAAAAATATTTAAGTGATTAAACAATGAGTCATCTACAGTAAAAGAACAAAGACCATTCAAAAATCCTACTTGAATATACTTTCCAAGGTGGTTCACCTACAGCTATAGTAGAGTCAACGACCTGAAGCTGAAAACTGACATTTCCCACTTTGCCCACTTGTCCTATCCTGGGAACTGACGGTATACAATCCTTAGACTGACCTAAAGCAACAACCTAAACCGAGCCTCTCTCTTTCTCAAGGTTTTGACTTTGTTTAATCCAACCAGTTCAGTTAATAAGGGATTAGAGAACAGCCTGCAGAAATCTTTGTTCCTTAATACTAGCTGAATAAAACCGTATGGGAAATCACAAATGTCCCGGGATCACATGCTGAACGTGCTGTTATTTTCCTGGACTCTGCATGGCTTTTTCTGCTTGGCTTTGGCATAAAGCAGGCAAGAAATTTGTGAGTCCCCACTTCTCTTAACTCTGGTCCAACATCGTAGGAGCACTTGTGTACTGAACTACAAGTGAGGACTGGAAAACAGAATGTGAGGAGAGTTAAAACATTTAACTGTGCAGCTTAACATGACTTGGTCTCAGAACAGGGAAGCCTCTGGCCTCCCACTATCGAGACCAAATCAAAAAAGACGAAACCACCTATTTTGCACCAAGACGGGTACGAGTACAGTTGTAATTCCAGGGAACACTGAGTTCCCTGGAGTTACTTACATGCTGGCTAAGACGTGCTGCCTCTTAGATGCGGGGCAAGGGCGGCTGGACGGGCGGGCGACCTTGAGAGTCCCGGGGAGCCGCACCCGCCGGAGGAAAGGCGCGCCCGGCCGACTGCTCCCACAGGGGATTGAGGCCCCTCCCACGGGGTGTTGGGACCCCCAAACTACGAAGCGGGATGGTGGCGAGAAAAGGGAAGGCTCTGAGACCTGGAAGAGGGGACCGCGGGTGGAGACGCCGCCA